TTCCTTCCTTCCTTCCTTTCTTCCTTCCTTCCTTCCTTCCTTCCTTCCTAAGGGTAAACACCGAAAGAACAGTTTGTATGTTTTATCTGTAATCTTCCTGTTCAACTATCAACTGTATAGAACACAGACTCACCTAGCATAAACTTAGAGGAGGGGAGGTTTTCACTCCTGCAGAAATTATTGAACTGGCACCTCCAAACAGGTGGGAAAATACCCCTAAAGTTTAATAAATGGAAGCAAGCACTGAGCCCTCAAAATTAGCAGAGCCACAAGGCATATCTCCCTTGCAGAAGCTGAAGAACTCATGACACTGGGGCCCCAGATCAGTGGAGCTTGCATGAAAGAATTGGCCTGTTTGCAGCCATCCAAGATGCCTGTGCTCTGACCTCTTCCCAGTCCTGTGCAGAGGCCTCCACTCAGACCCAAGGCTGCATTTCATCTCGGTACAGGGCCTGCAACTTCTGCCCTGCCCTTCACTGGCTGCTGAGTGCTACTTTTCAGTTTCTTTCTGTGTCCATTTAAAAGCGCAATGTCACTGATTCCCTGGAAAAAACAACTAGAGTACAGTAAGAAGAGAGGAAAAGTGATTCCTGGGCTTCCCACTATGAGGGCACAACAAGAGGCTAAGGTGGTACTAAATGGCTGGATACATGCAGGAAAGTGACCAAGGATTCCCCAGGGTGATCACTTGAGATAGTGTGTGGTCAAACACCTGTTTTTTTTGGCTCAAAGCCAGAAGTAGGCTAGAACATGGACCTGGGTTCTGCACTGGGAGAAGTACATTAAGGAAGAATTAAATTGATTCTACTCACAAGTGCAATCTTTGGCCTCAGGTGGGAAGAGACAGTGCCAAAGTCACATAGTTTATCCTGAGGCACATCAGGTCAAAGAACCTGGAAGCCAGGATCTAGGCTGATGCAGACCTGCCCTACCAGATAAAGGCCTTATAGACCCTTTCCAATAGTCTCAGGGGACCTAGTCACAGTTAACTGGCCTGGCTTCTGTGCCTCTGCTTAACCTTCCTTTGCTCTTCCCCATCACCAGGTTTCAGAAGGCAGTTGGCCCCACCCTGCAGCCCTTCCAGGCCCAGAGATTGGTTTCTCTAATTGTGGGGTAGGACAGGTTCACCAAAGCAAGGGGAGGTGGTAAGGCACTACAGGGGCAGCAACATGTTGTCAGTCAAGTTGAAGGGCTGTCCTACATCTGTTGGCTCCATACCAGGCTCTACAGCTCTTCCTTGCCTACAGTTGAACTAAATGTTGTCCTGTCCTGTCTGAATTGCAGACTGAGGACCTAGGGCAGCAGGGACCTTGACAGCCACAGCCTCACACTTGATTGAACTATGAATTCTGTTGAACTCTGCCTTGTATCATAATTGAAATCAGTGGTGGTATGTTCTCTTACTGTTCAGTAACATATTTTCCCGTGTGTGTGTGTGTGTGTGTGTGTGTGTGTGTGTTTGTGTGCGTGTGTGTTTGTGTGCGTGTGTGCGCGCAGGTCCTAGTCCTGGGATTTGAACTCAGGGCTTGGGTGCTGTCCCTGAGCTCTTTTGCTCAAGGCTAGTGCTCTATCATAGCCAAAGCTCCACTTCTGGCTTTTTGGGTGCTTAATTGGAAATGAGATTTTTCTTCCCAGGCTGGCTTTGAACTGTCATCCTTAGATCTCAGCCTCCTGAGTAGCTAGGATTACAGGTCAAGTTTTTAAAAGGTTATGTCAGTCACTTTTTTTTTTTTTGGTCAAATGGGTATGTATATGGAGGTTCTAAGTAACTCTCCTTTGTAACTGAGGTCCTAAGCAGTGGACATTTTAAATAGCCACTTCGTAGGAGAGATTTTTTTTTTTCTAAAGGGGAGTCAGTGGTTGCAGTTGGGATTTTATTTTTAAATAAACCTCAATCTTGTGAAACAGTGCTATCTACTTGCAGAGAGAAATGAGGATTTGAAAATATGGATACATGTTAAGGGGAGGAGGGAAACCCTGGGAATGAAGATAATTTAAAGGAAAAATAAGAAGAGCCAATTGATGACAGGCCAGAGAGCTAGTAATGGAGACTCTTACCCTTGTTCTGCAGGGAACTCTCTAGGAACTGGATCAGGTGTGGTGGTCAAGAAGGTATTTCATAAAAAGCAAGAAAAATGTCCTTTCTCTTCATAGTGTGGAAAGGAGATTGCACTGTTCAGGATGGCCACTCTCTTGCTGGGTGACAGGACGCCATGTAGGATGAAAGAGAGACTAGCCTGCTGGGGAATCATTCCAGAATTCTTGTCCTTACTTGGAGAGAGTTCACTATTTCCTCTCAACTCTATTCATGTTACTTTCCTCTCATTCCATTCTATGGTCAGGAATACATGCCTTTTAGGCTTCCTCCCTGTGTCTAATCAGGCATATTACTTAGCTTATTTCAGACTGTCATTTGCAGACCAAAAGGATTATAACAAGGTAAATTTCTGTACATTTTCATGATTTATTAAAGAACTCTCCAGGCAAAGAATGGTAGGTCATTATTAATTCCATATGAATTTGAGTACCCACTACAGTAGGAATGTGCTGGTACTAATAGGAAGACAAAATATCCATTGCTATTCAGTTGTTCATTATCAAACTAGAAAAGTATAAATATCCACAATATTATTATGGACAACACATTTATAATGCAATGTGTAGTTAGTTATTGGATAAAAAGAGTATCAAGATGTGAGTAATTTGCACAAAGACAATACTTTTTGAAGTAAAAGAGAAACCTTACTGGTAGGTAAAGTTGCTTGGGATGTAGCCAATTGGGAAAGTACTTGCCCAACATGCTCATGATCTGGCTTTGTTCTCTAGCACTGTCAAAAAGTGAGCTAGGGATTACTAGGCACTGGTAGCTCAAGCCTCTAATCCTAGCCAATCAGGAGGGTGAGATCTGAGGATCATGGCTCAAAGCTAGCCCAGGCAGAAATGTCTCTAAGACTAATCTCTAACCACCAAAAAAGTCAGAAGTGGAACTGTGGTTCAAAAGTAGTAGCCTTGAACAAAAAAGCTTAGGGGACAGCACGCAGGCATTAAATTCAAGGCCCATGTCAGATAAAAGAAGAGCTAGGGAGATAAATGGTTGAAGTTGTAGGTCTGTTCGAGGAGGAGATAAAGTTATGAGATGGAGAAATAGTGCTAGGTTCCTATTGTTTTTTGGTTGATTTGGGGAAGCTCCTCTGAGTAGGATCCAATTGACTTGAAGGTTGCTGACATTGAGTAGAACTTGCTTAAAAACAAGGTGAAAGTAGGAAAGGGACAGTTGGGGGAATATTCTGAACAGAGCCATAATCATTAGTGTCTGACCAACCTGGGTGTTACCTTGTGCTGATACCTCTGAACTTTAAGTCCATTAATAAGACATGAGATTTGATATTCAATGGCTTCTAGACTATTGTTTACCCAGGCCAATAAAATATCAAAAATATTAAAACAAGATCTCCAGCTTAAGTATTAAAGTGACTTTTCTACTTAAGAATCTCTTCATAAAACATTATTTTAGTACCACAGTATAAGGAGAGGCAGGAGAGACTGTAATCTTAGCTCCTCATGAGGCAGGATTGAGGAATCTCCAGGTTTAAGGCTGGCCCAGCAAAGAGTTTGCAGGACCAATCTCAACAAGCTGGTCACTGTACAACAATTATATGAAAGTCCATAATCAGTATTAAGTTGGCAAGATAAATTTAGAGAAAACAGTCTTAATTACTTCCATGTATATAAAATTTTTTAAAAAGAAGGCAAAATTGTGTTTCATGCCAATTGGAACTTAATCTGATAACCCAAATTGTGATACATCTTGTATTGGAAAAGTAGAGAAAGTGTCTTCTGAAAACAAGCATTTTAAATTTTTTCCATGTAAAATAATCCAGTTTAATGAGACTTGTCAAGGAAACGTCAGACTTTAAGCAACCTAGCTTCCTGTGAAATGAGAAAGGAAGTTAGCATTGGTTTCAGAAATTTATTACAGATCCAGCCCTAATGGAACTGACTTTTGAAATGTTTCATTTTTCAGTACTATATGCCTGGCCACGTGCACAGCCGGAGGAATAAGAAGATGAAGCATCTTCCTGGACTTTACATACTAGTGCTGCAGCAGACAATAAATAAACAACAAAGTAAGTTATAAGAAGGACTACTCCATAGGAAATCCAGTGTCTTCCTGTGTGCATATGGGATAGGACCTCTGAAAATGGTGTCCCCTCTGGAGTAACTGTGTTGAGACAATGTGGGGTGAGGATGTTTTCCCCAAGTCAATGTCAAGAGCTGTCTCAGAATCAAACCCTCTCTGACTGCATTGTTCACCTCAAAACCCCTCCTGCAGAAATGTTAGTGTCATCACTGACTCTCTGCTAGCCCCAGCTAACCCAGTGGTGGATCATCAGCCAGGGGACCCAGTGTTGAAACTTTAGAGGGACTGAGAACATTGTGGGATACATAATTGCAACGTGTATTCTTCTGCCTGACACCCTCACTGGCTTTCATTTGGCAGGTCAGTTGTTTTTCCCCAGAAGCCAGACTGCCAAGGGGAGGAAGAAAATCTCTCAGATTTCACTTTGGAAGAGGAAGACTTGAGGCTTCCAGGACTGGACTAGCACTTCTGAATATCTCCAGAGGCCCCGCCCGCCCTGTGACTTCCTTGGAAAGTTCTGCTGTGCCCCACCCAATAGGCTGCTGATTTGGGGGGGGGGTGGGGACGATCCCTAGGTCTGCAGCCCAAATCCTGCCTAGCTGTGGGGGAGCGGCCCTGTCGGGAGTTGTGGCTCCTCAAGGGGTAGAGGGGGTTGGGCCCTTTCAAAGTAGGAAAAGACTCCCTAGCAGTATAGAACCAAACAGGGTGCGAGCCTAACAAAGGGTTCTGTTTCATAAACAATGATTTCGGTTTCATAAACAAAGGTGTTGTAAGCTAGGGGCGGGGTTCACACGGTTGCCAGGAAACACCAAAGAAGCTGCTGCCTTAAACCCTTTGGCTTGAGGGAGTAGCAGTGGCTATGCGTGTCTTGTCCCCGTTGTATATCATGTCCCGGCTCTGTCTCTGGACCCCAGAGCTCCTCCTCACGATGCTACAGTTGTGGCTCTGGGTCCAGGCAGCACCTATTTCGCACTGGGACCGAAATCGGATCCTGCCAAACCGCGATCCTGCTGAACCCACAGAGCCACTGTCTCCACGCACTTCCTATCTCCCACCTGAACCATCCCATATGCTCAACCACCCCGGGGACCCCGGGGACCCCGGGGACCCTGATGGTTTTGATTACCTGGAATCCTCACCTCCGTCTCAGATGTTTGTTGCACCGCAGGAATTGACTGAAAATTTGCTTTCATTCCCCAACACAGATTCTGCTGAACAGCTACCTCCAGAGTCAGATCAGTTTCCTGGGTCTCATGATCTGCCAGACAAGTTAATTCCAGAGGAGACACATGTAGAGGCGATCCCAATGGCAGGTGAGGATCACAACCAGTCCCACCCTCTGTCTCATCCACTCAAAAGTACATTTCAGACTATAGGGCTAGATCAGACTGCAGATCACCAGTCATTTGAAATACTTCTTGCACCTATGGATAATCAGAGTTTAACAACAGCACCGTTTGTTTCACAAGAGAACCTAGAGAATGATCTAGCTCAGCATCCGCACCTTGCTACACTTATCATTGAAACTGCAAACTCATTTACTGAACCCGAGGTTCAGAAACAATCCTTGCAGGATGGTTATCTAGATTCAGATAGGAATATGGTTTATTCTGATAGCCAAACTCTGAAAACCCAAGGGAATGCAGATGAGCCTCCAGAGCCCTTAGAGCAAGGTGTACCTTCTAAGTTCCACCTGGAGACCCATACTCAAAATCCAGAGACTCCTGAGGAGATCCAATCCTCTGTCACCCAGAAAGACACCCCAGCTCAACATGAACTTGTTAGGGAGGATGTTGTACCATCAGTGCATCAGGAAGCAAATGTTCCACTCCCAAGTGAAAATGAAACTCAGCTCTCAACCCTGTCAAATGCCTTGATTAATCTTTTGGATATGGACACCATAACAACTCCCAGGAAACGGCAGACCCCAGCCCGGCCTGTGGGGAGTGTAGAGGAAGAAGCAACTTTGTCGTTCCAAGAAGAGGCACCAGATCAGACTTCAGAGCTCCCCGAGATTGCTGAACCTTCTGGAAGCCAGCTGGAAGTCCCAGGTCAACCTTCAGCATCTTTTGAAGAGGTTGGATCCCTGTCTATTCAACAGGAAGCTCCAGCTCTAGCACCTATTAGAGATGAGAAGTCTGAGCAGGAGATCCCAACTGACAATATACAGACTGCTCGAGAGGAGGAACCTTCTCCAAGCCACTCTGTGGCCCAATCTCAGCTTCCAGAGCCACCTGATGGGAATGTAGCTCAAACTTCAGCGTATTATGCAATGCCAGTTTCAACACCAAGTGAGGACCAAACTAAATATTTAATACTTCCCAATAGCACAGCTCAACTTTTGGGTCTGCAAAGCACAGTAACTGAAAAACCCACTACTAAAGCTAAACACTTCCGGACAAAGACAGACGCTCTTCTAAAACAAGCCCACATTGCAATTCAACTACCTGTGGCTCTCCAACTTACCATGACTGTACAACCTACTGCTGAGTATGAATTTTCTCCAACAGTACAAACTGAACATTCTTTGGCTACTTCTCCAGAGAAGCATGATGTAATGCTTTCACATCTGGACCAGGTTCAGACTTCGAATCCGGTTGTAACTGAAGTCACAGTTAAACCTTTTGATCTGGAACTTACTTTAACTCCAGGATCCATTATGGAGGCTGAACCTTCTCCAACCATACAGAATACCCTAACTGATCCTCAACAGCTTATATCTCAAGCTCCAGTGTATTATGTGATGACAGTTCCAATGCCAAGTCAGGAACAAATGAATACTCAAACATCACAAGGGGTCACACGACCTCTGGACATAGAGCTTCCCACAAATTCAGAATCCACTACAGAAATGGACTATTCTTCATCCTCCCTGAAGACAACTACAGCTTTTTCTCCTCCTCTTCCTACCCTTCCTCTTCTTCCCCTTCCACTTTCTACTGTTCCTCCTCCTCCTCCTCTCCCTCCTCCTCCTCCCACTCTTCCCACTCCTCTCCTTCCCTTTCCCCCTTCCCCTTCCCCTCTTCCTCCTCATTCACCTCTAACTGTTCCTCCTTCCACTCCCACTCTTAGTACTCCCAGTCTTCCTCCTCCTCCATCTTTACCTCCCAGTCTTCCTGCTCCCCCTTCTCTTCCTCCCAGTCTTCCTCCTTCTCTTCCTCCCAGTCTTCCTCCTCCTCCTCCTCTTCCTCAGAGTCTTCCTCCTCCTCCCCCTAGCCTTCCTCCTCCTCTTTCTCTTCCTCCTCCTCCTCTTCCTCCTCCTCTTCCTCCTCCACCTTCGTTTCCTCCTCCTCCTCTTCCTCCTCCTCCTCCTCCTTCTCTTCCTCCTCTTCCTTCTCTTCCTCCTCCTCCTCCTCCTTCTTCTTCTTCTTCTTCTCCTCCTCCTCTTCCTCCTGCTTCTCCTCTTCCTCTTCTTTCTCCCTCTTCTGCTCTTCCTCTTCTTCCTCCCCCTTCTCCTCCTCCTCCTCTTCTTTCTCTCCCTTCTCCTCCTCTTCTTCCTCCCCCTTCTCTTCTTCCTCCCTCTTCTCCTCTTCCTCCCCCTTCTCCTCCTCTTCCTCCCCTTTCTCCTCCTCCTCCCCTTTCTCCTCCTCTTCCTCTTCTTTCTCCCCCTTCTCCTTTTCCTCTTTTTCCTCCCTCTTCTCCACCTGCCCAGGTTCAGGCCCAACAACCAAACCTGACTCCAAAACCTACTACAGAGGTTTCTCCATCCATGCAGTTAACTCCAACTCATCCTCCAATTTTACCAACTGCACAGGCTGTATTTTCTACAGCTTCTTTTCCAAACATCCCCATGACTAGAATCACAGTGCAACCTTTGAATTTGGGATTGAACATGACTCAGTTCTCTGCAAATCCTGTCACTGAAAAGGTTTTAACTGTGCAAATTGGACAGATGTCCACTTCAAAAATCAACATATGTGAGCTCTGTACATGCCAGGAACAGACAATGTTGTGTATTGGTCTCAGCCCAGCACAGAAGCTCCGCCGAGTACCAGTGCCAGTTCCCCACACCAAGAAGAAAATCTTTACTGTGTTGTAAGCATCACCTTTCCTCCTTTGTGCTAAGCATTCTTCTCAACATGGTAACTTCTTTTTCTCAAGTTCTTCTCAAGGTCTTCATCTCATCTCTGACTTTCTCCTGTTAACTTTAGCTTGTACTGTATTCCTTCTCCAGGATTTTTATTTTTTATTTTTGGTCTGGTTGTGGGGCCTGAACTCTGGGCCTGGGCGCTGTCCCTCAGCTCTTCAGCTCAAGGCTAGCACTCTACCACTTGAGCCACAGCGCCACTTCCGGCTTTTTTCTTTTTTCTTATGTGGTGTGAGGAATCAAATCCAGGGCTTCAGGCATGCAAGGCAAGCACTCTACTACTGAGCCACCTTCCCCGCCCCTTCTCCAGGATTTTGTGATTGCGCTCTTTCTCCTTTTTTTTTTGTTGGTTGTGAGGCTTGAACTCTGGGCTTGGGAGCTGTCCCTGAGCTCTTCAGCTCAAGGTCAGTGCTCTACCACTTGAGTCACAGAGCCACTTTTGGTTTTCTGATGATTAATTGGAGATAAGAGTGTCATAGACTTTCCTGCTCAGGCTGGCTTTGAACCTTGATTCTCAGATCTCAGCCTCCTTAGTAGCTAGGGTTACAGGCATGAGCCACCAGTGCCCAGCTTTCTACCTTCTTTATAACATGTCTCAGTGATATTAGTGTCATGTTTAAGAGTAGAGTCTGGAAAGAGATTAGCTGGGTTTTGAACTCAGGTCTTTCATTGATTAGTTTTTTAGGCCTGACAAATTTTTTAGCTTTGTGACTCAGTTACCTCATCTGTAAAATGGACATTGTGCTAGTTACCATTTCATAGGATGGTTGTCAATTTAAGTGAGCATAAACATGTAATTCTTTTTTATTTAGAGAATACTTTATTAGTTTCTGTAATCAAACCCACGTAGATAAGACCTTACATATTTAATACAGTGCGTTTACCCCTGTACAAATGGAAAAAAATTAAGTTTAACATTTCTAGACCAATATGGCTATTAATTTCTGTACAATGCCAACTCAACACGGTAAACTGGGATACTTTTTCCAAAGTAAACATGTAATTCTTATCTCAGTACCTAGAATACATGAATATTAGCTGTTATTTTTTAGTCCCTTGTTTATGTTCAGAATTCATCTGTCTTTATATATAGATTCATTTTGGACCAAACCGAAGACAGTCCTGTGGTAGTCTAAGAAGTAGCACAATATGTATAGAACACAAAACAGTAGATAGAAAGAAATGGAACAAGCATAAAAAGATGATATATAATGAAGTACTAAAAGAGATGTAGACTAGGTGTTGTCATTCTTCATAATCTATAAACACTTGGTTGTTGGAGTTATTGAAAAAAAATTACATGGAGCGGGGCACTGGTGGCTCACATTTGTAATCCTAGCTACTCAGGAGGCTGAGATCTGAGGACTGCAGCTCAAAGCCAGCCTGGGCAAGAAAGTCTATGACACTCTTATCTCCAATTAACCACCAGAAAACCAGAAGTGGCTCTGTGGCTCAAGTGGTAGCCTTGAGCTGAAGAGCTCAGGGACAGCAACCAGGCCCAGAGTTCAAGCCTCACAACTGACCCCCCCAAAAAAATATATATGTATATATACATAAAGATAGATAGAGGTATAGATATAGATAGACACACACACACACACACACACACACACACACACACACACACTACATGGATAAGCTAAAACTTTACCTAGAGCTTACAGAGTGTGTTAAGTAGTGAAAAACCAGAAAGTAGAGCCTAGACAAATGCATGGCTACTGTTGCCATCAGGATATATTAGAACAGTCTGTCCGAAAAGAATTGAGGTTGGAAGCAATGAAAGACATAGTTAACATTTTCAATATCAACTCTAGAGGTTTGAAGGTTGTACAGTGAGATTTGGAGCCATGGAAACTTTTCAAGCAAGAGAGTAACAAGAGAGGATTTGTTGTTTGCTTTTGTTAGACAGGGTTTTGGTCTAGATAGCCCAGTCTGACCTGTAACTTACTATGCAGGTCTAGTCTGGAATGAAACTCAGTCCTTATATCTCAGCTTCCTGAGTACTGGGAACACAGTCCTGTACCACCCAGATGCTAGAGGAATGTTTTAGGATATATCTATGGAGTGGTCTTAGAAGGGAAAGTTGAATTCAGAAGACCTACTAGAAAGCTCTAGAAAAATCTAGGTGTAAATTGAAAAGTTATTGAATCAGAGTGGTTGTGATGAAAATGGAAAGAAAACACTGGGATTTCCTATAAGGAAAGACAGACAGGAATTAGTAATGGACTGGAGTATAGTTGGGACTGGGGTATATAGAAAATAGGACTCCCCCATTCCTGTCCTAGATGAACATGATAGTGATGGTGATGTAATGGAATGGCAGAGCTGTCAGGAAAGATGAGTTTAGTTTTAGGCATTGTCATCAGCAAGCAATCAGAAAGGTTGTACTTGAGTGGAAGGTATTCACTAGATAGATAAGCAGACTTAATTCTTTTCTATTCCACTGCCAGATGAAGTGTATATAAGCTGAGCAGGAAAGTTGCTGCTGAGGGGTAAGGACAGAATTAAAGGTAAAGTTACACAGATTTGAAATGAAACAAAGTATTTAATAGCTCCTTTCATGCATATATGCCTATTCTTTTTTTTAAATTCACAAAAGTCAGATTTAGAGGTATGCATCTATAATTGTAGCACACAGGAGGCTGAGACAGGTTAGATCTGGATTGGTTTGTTGTTGTTGTTTTATTGTTGTGGGACTTGAACTCAGGACCTGGGCACGATCCCTGAGTTTAAGATTAGTGCTCTATCCCTTGGAACCACAGTTCTGGTAGTTACTTGGAGATAGGAGTCTCACAGACTTTTCTGCCTGGGCTGGCTTTGAACCATAATCCTCAAATCTCGGCCTCCTAAGTAGCTAGAATTACAGTTGTGTGCCACCAGCACCTGGCTAGGTCTGGGTTTTGAGGCCAGTCTGAGCTACATAGCAATAGTCTACCTCTTTAAAAAAAATGATGCCTATAATCCTACTACTCAGGAAGCTGAGAGCTGAGGATCACGGTTCAAAGCCAGCCTGGGCAGGAAAGGCCGTGAGACTCTTATCTCCAATTAACCACCAGAAAACTGGAAGTGGTAATGTGGCTCAGAGCACTAGCCTTAAGCTGAAGAGCTGAGGAATAGCGCCCAAGCCCAGAGATCAAGCCCCACAACTGACCAAAAAAAAATGATATAGCTCACTGGTAAAGTACTTGCCTAGTACACAGTTCCCATTCAATCTTCAGCAACACACACACACACACACACACACATTCACAGAAGTACATAGGATAAGATGTGAATGTATGCAGCCTCTCTCAACTACTATTACCTCTTTTGTCTTATACCACCTATAAGAGAACCCTTTTTACTATTTTATTATGTTTTCCTCCCTCCAGTTTCTTTCCTGTGCATTTTCCTCTGATGTGGTAATACTATACTCCTGTGCTTTTTTCTATGCAACATATGCAAGAGATCTTTCCATACTAGCACAGTAGTTCCTCTAATTTCTAATTCTACTTTCCCTTCCTAGGATGCACTTCCTTCTAAGTGCCCTTACTTAGGCAAACTTAATACTACATGGCAGAGGGTTTTTTTGTTCCTGTTTGAAATAGTGGTAGATTTTTGCCCCGTTTTTTGTTGAATTATTTATTTCCTTACTGTAGGAATCAGTTTAAAAACAATTGGCAAGGGTGGGGTGGAGAGATATATTCAGAATAACAGGGTGCCATTACATATACAAAAGAGATTGAGTTTCCAGTGAGATATCCCATCTGAGATATCCCATCTTTTGCACCAATGGCCTGGCATTATGATTATTTTGTTTTGTTTTTTGTTGGTCATGTAGTTTGAACTTGGCCTGGGTGCTGTCTCTGAGCTCTTCAGCTCAAGGTGAGTACTCTACCACTTGAGCCACAGTGCTACTTCCAGTTTTCTGGTGGTTAATTGTTAAAAGTCACATAGCCAGGCTCAAGTTAAAAGTCGCATAGCAAGGCTCACGCCTGTAATCCTAGCTACTCAGGAGGCTGAGATCTGAGGATCATGGTGCAAAACCAGCCCAGGCAGGAAAGGCCGTGAGACTCTTATCTTCAATTAACAACCAGAAAACCAGAAGTGGTGCTATGGCTCAAGTGGTAGAGCACTAGCCTTGAGATGAAGAGCTGAGGGACAGCGCCCAGCCTCAGAGTTCAAGCCCCAGGACTGATGGAAAAAAAAAAAAAAGTGTTTCATGGACCTTCCTGCCAGGGCTGGCTTTGAACTTGGTCCTCAGATCTCAGCTTCCTGAATAGTTAGGATTAAAGGCGTGAGCCACTGGCACTCAGCTGGCCTGGCATTATTTATTGTAAAAACAAGGAAGTTCAAAGCTTTGGAACATAGAAAGGTGATGGTACTTTTTACTTTACTTGATTATCTTCCACAGGGTTATAGTGATTCTTCAACTTATCCCAATCTTTCTTTTCCTACTTGTTCAAATAAATGAACTGTGTTTCTTCACAGAAATTTCCAAGGAAACTCTATTTCTTACTTGGAAGAAAATATATGGAAAACATACCGTTGGGTTGGGAAGTTGTAAGTATATTCATCCTAAATATGAACTGTAGGATCCTTCTTGGTCAATACCTCTGAAAAGGAATTTCCTACCACATCTCAAATCAACTTCTATTGATTGAAATTTTGTGGTTATTTTAAATGTTAAATTTCTTGAGGAATGTGGGTATATCTTAGTGGCAGAGCTTGCCTTGCATGCATGAGGCCCTATCTTCATTATGAAAAAAATGATAAAAATTTCAGTCAGGTGCATTGGCTCATAACTGTAATCCTAGCTATACAACTCAGGTGGCTGATATATTGGGAGGACTACAGTTCAAGACTAGCCTGAGCCTCAAAGTTTACAAAAAACTCTCAACCAAGAGTTAGGTACTGTGGTATGACCTGTCATCCCAAGCTACATGGGAGACTAAGGTCAAGAGGATTGTGCTTCCAGGCTGTTCAGGACAAAAAGGTACTTGATATTCCACTTTTTTCCAGAGAGAAATTGGATTCAGTGGTACATACCTCTCATTCCAACAAATACAGAAAGCCTAAAGTAGGTAGACTGCAACTCAGGCACACATCTGAGCAGGAAGTGAGCCCCTATCTTAAAAATAACCAGTGAGGCCTGGTACCTGTGGCTCACGTTTGTAATCCTAACCACTCTGGAGGCCAAGTTCTGAGGATCGTGGTTCAAAGCCAGCCAGGGGAGGAAAATCCATGAGATTTTTCTCTCTAATAAACTACTCAGAAAAAACTGGAAGTGGTGCTGTGGCTCAAGTAGTAGAGTGCTAGCATTGAGCACAAACAGGCTCAGGGACAGTGCTCAGGCCCTGAACTCAGGCCCCAAGATTGGCAAAAAATAATAAAATAACCAGTGAGCTGGGCACTGATGGCTCATGTCTGTAATCCTAGCTACTCAGGAGGCCTGAGATCTGAGGATTGCTATTCCAAGCCAGCCTGGGCAGAAAAGCCTATGAGATTCTTATCTCCAGTAAACTACTCAGAGAAAGCCAGAAGTAGTGCTGTGGCTCAAGTGGTACAGTGCTAGCTTTGAGCACAAAGCAGTTGAAGGACAGCACCCTGAGTTCAAGCCCCATGACTGACCAAAAACAAGCAAAAAAACAGTGAAACACCTGAGTTCAAAACCTCAGAATTACATAAACAAAGATACGTTTTCATGGGCCCTCTTTGAAATATGTTTTCCACTATATATATAGTATATGATTACCTACCTAATGGACAGAGATAAAATAACATATGGTAAAAAAAAAAACCCTATCCTAGATATTTTCCTATGCATTTGCCTACATACGTATTTAAAAACAACAAAAGATATTTGTTATATGGTTTTCTTTTTCTTGTTTTTTTTTTATTGTTGGTCATGGGGCTCTTATGCACAAGGCTAGCACTCTGTCACTTTGAGCTTTTGAGTGGAGGTAAGAGTCTCACAGGGATTTTACTACCTGGGATGGCTTAGAACCACGATCCTTAACTCTCAGCCTCCTGAGTAACTAGGTTACAGGCGTGAGCCACATGTGGCCAGTTGGTTTTCTTTTTCCTTACATAAATGGTAACATCCGATGGGTGCTGGTGGCTCACGTCTGTAATCCTAGCTCAGGAGGCTGAGGTCTGAGGATCATGGTTCAAAGCCAGCCTGGGCAGGAAAGCCCCTGAGAATCTTATATCCAATAAACCACTCAGAAAATAAGAAGTGGCACTGTGGCTCAAGTGGTAGAGTGCTAGCCTTGAGCTGAAGAGCTGAGGGTCAGAGCCTAGCCCAGAGTTCAAGCCCCACAACCAACAAAAATAAATAAATAATAAAAAATAAATGGTAATATCCTGTGACTAGACTTTATGAACCATCACTTTTTTTTTGCAGGAGAGGGGGGGGCGGTTCCGGTCATGGGGCCTGAACTCTGGGCCTAGGCACTGTCCCTCAGCTCTTCAGCTCAAGGCTAGCGTTCTACCACTTGAGCCACAGCACCACTTCCGGCTTTTTTCTTTTTGCTTATGTGGTACTGAGGAATCGAACCCAGGGCCTCATGCATGCAAGGCAAGCACTCTACCACTGAGCCACCCTCCCAGCCCTGAACCATCTTTTTTTTTTCTTCCCTTGTATATAGAAAGTTATCCTATTCATTTAAATTCCTGCATAACATTCCATAGTATCTTTAACTCATGGTTTAACCATTTTCCTGTTTAGAACATGTTATTTACTTGTTGCATACATGGCTACCATGAACATCTCTGTATATACTTACTTGGCTGAGTCATTCTGTAGAATAGACATCTAGAAATGGTATTGTTAGGGTGAATAGTACAATGGTATACAGGAATGTTAATTGCCCTAAAAAAACGTGTGCCATTCTACATTCCATGTCACAAAATAAGACAACTTTCAGTTCTCCATACCTTTCTACCACTTAGTATTCTCAAACTGCTTGATTTATTTTGATTCAGAAATAACCTTTTTGTCTTCCAGAATTCTCAGTGAAAATCGCCTGACTGAATTACATAAGGATTCATTTGAAGGCCTGCTGTCCCTTGAGTATTTGTAAGTTATTCAGTCCAGCATATTGATTTGTGAGTCTATTACATGTGAAATGCACAGGGGTTCAAATTAGATAATTACTAAAATCTAATCCAGCAATAAATTTTGCAGTTAATTCTGTGTACATCTCAGCCCCTCTCTAGCATTAAATACTTTGCATATGTTATCAGCTTAATTTATGTTAATCATTTAAACAGCCCTTACTGAGAAAAATGATGATAAGACCTGTGTAGCTGTCTCATGCCTATAATCCTAACTATGCAGAAGGCTGAGGTCTGGGGATCATCGTACAAGCCAGCCTGAGAAGGACCTACAGAAAAACACCACTGGAAGTAAAGGTTTGGCTCAAGTGGTAGAGTGTTAGCCTTGAGCAGAGAAAGCTAAGGGAAGGCAAGGCTTCCAGTTCTTAGGCAAGGCTCTGAGTTGAAGTCCTAGTACTGTCACAACAAGAAGAAAAAAAAAAGAAACATACAACATAGATGGACTATAATATACAAAGACTAAAATACTATTTGGCCTTTACAATAAATACTTGAAAAAATAGGATTTGTAGGATAGGATAGAAAGAACCAAAGCTGCTTAAAGGAGAAGGAAATCTAACCACTTAAATTAACTTTAGAATATCATAAACCCAGAGCTTGAACTTGACATCCCTAGGCTTTTGTACTTATGGCTAGCAATCTACCACTTGAGCCACTCCTCCACTCCAACTTTTTTTTTGCTGGTTGGTTGAATAATAGAATTTCTTAAGACTTTTTTGCCCAAGCTAGCTTCAAAGTGAGATCTTTAAATCTCAACCTTCTGAGTAGCTAGGATTATAGGTATGAACCACTATTGCCTGGCTGTTTTCACAATTTAATCTGAATTAATATTTAAATATTAAAGAGCTAAACAGATCAGTTACATAAATAATATCAAGATGATTATGCCACAAGGAGGCCAGATGGATAGTAAGGATTTCAGTGAAAGAATTGCTATATGCATGTTGAAAATAGATATATGAAGCTGGTAGTGGTGATGCAATGCCTAAAATCCCAGCACTCAGCAGATAGGGACAGGAGAATCAAGAGTTGGCAGCCAGCCTGGGCTATATAGCAAGATTTCTCTCTGAGACGACCACCCACTAAAATAAATAATTGAAGTGATGCTTAAGTAAGTATAGTATATAGAAATGTTATCATAAGTATACCAGAAATTTTCCTAATATTCTTTTTTTTTTTTTGGCCCAGTCATGGGGTCTGAACTTTGGGCCTGGGCACTGTCCCTCAGCTCTTCAGCTCAAGGCTAGCGCTCTACCACTTGAGCCACAGTGCCACTTCCGGCTTTTTTCTTTTTGCTT